TTGTCCTTCGGACATCACATCTCCATCCCTCCTTTGGTAACCCGTTTCAAAATCATCTCGGCTTTGAGATGAAGAGACGCCAAGTTCTTTACCTTTGCGGAATTTCTTCCTCCCAATCTCGTCCCTTCGGTGGCGATCGAGGTTACCCATATCAACCGAATATCTACCACCTTCCAGCTTAAAAATGTAACAAATATTAATTTGCAACAAATATAATAACGAATACAAAAGTAATGCAACTAATTAAAACTATTTTAATTAATACTTCAAACTAATTTAGTGAAAACTACTTTAATGAAATGTGAAGTACTTTAATAAAGTAATGAATTAAAGTGTGACTCTAAAATAAAAATTGAAATTCGAACTAATCAATAGTATTTTTAATAAATACTTAAAACTAACAAGTGTGACTTTAACTAAAATGTGAGTAATTAAATTATAGCAACTTTTCAAGTACTTTAATTTAGTGAAAACTACTTTAATAAAATGTTAAGTACTTTAATAAAATTATTGAACTACTCTTTTTTCGTTCAAATATAAATTCAAACTATTATAATGTGACTTTAACTATAATGACAATTAACTACTACCTCCGTCCCGCTAAGTTTGGTACAAGAGAAGGTGACACAGTTATTAATAAAAGTGAGTTTATGTAGTTGATATTGAATTAATAAAGTAAGAATAAAGTAGGAATGATTTAGAACCACACAAACTTTACCATATAAGGTATGATGAGACAATCTTAGTGGGACGGACCGAAATGGTGAAATGGGGCAATCATAGCGGGGCGGAGTTTTTTAAAGTAGAGGCAAAGGTAGCAATTAATGGGAATACTAATTAACTAGTTAACTAGTTTAATGAAAAATGTAACAATTAGCGGGAATACTAATTAACTAATCAAGTAATGTTAATACAAAATGTAAGTAATAAGACAAATGTATGAATGTGTATACTAATTAATGGGAGTAAATGAGTAATAGAATGATTTTAACTAATATTAATTAAAGTGTAACTAATATATAATATATTGTTTATAGTATATAATATATAAGTATACTACTATAAGATGAGTAATACACTTATATTTAATACTTTAATATATAGAGTATATATTAAGTAGATGTGGAATGTATGTATTAAGTAGATATAAGTAGATAATAAGTAGAGATTAAGTAGATAAGAAATATAAGTAATATAGTATATGTATTTATAAGTAGATAATTAATATATAAGTAGATATAATAATTGTATAAGAATTAAATAGTAAAATATAATGGAGATTGGAGAATAAGAAAATAAGTAGATAAGAAATATAAGAAGAGAAGTAGATAATATTATGTATTAAGTACTATTATATACTAATAGTTTATAAAGTATATTTAATACTTTAATATATAAAGTATATATTAACTAGATGTAGTATGTATGTATTAAGTAGATATAAGTAGATAATAAGTAGAGATTAAGTAGATAAGAAATATAAGTAATATAGTATATGTATTTATAAGTAGATAATTAATATATAAGTAGATATAATAATTGTATAAGTATTAAATAGTAAAATAAAATATAATGGAGAATAAGAGAAATTGAGAAGATGAATATGGAGATGAGTAGAGAGTAGAGAGTAGGATTTAGGAAGAGTCGGAGAAGATTAGATCCGCCATAGAAGCAGAATCGGAGGTCGCCGTAGATCTCTCGTTCTGACGCCGAAGAGAGAGGTCTGTCGCCACTCGCCACTGTAGGAGCGAAGCCGGTGAAGATGCTGACGGGCGAGAGGTTGGAATGGGAGGAGAGATTGCAGACAGCAAGAAGAGAGAAGAAGAGAAAGATGAGAGCTGAACCTGAGGCGACGGTGATGGCGGCGGCGAAGGCAGGGTGACGGCGAAGGCAGGGCGGCGGCGAAGGCAGGGCAGCGGCGTGAGATGCAGGGGCGGCTTGGAGGAGTTTAGCGTCGAGATTGGCTCCAGCGTCGATGTTGGAGTGTAGCGTGAATGAGATTGGGCCGTCCCTTTTTCAAAAAGTGAAGGGTATTTTAGACAATAAACAGCACTTTTGATTAGTTTTTTGTCCAACCGGGATTTCCACTTATTTTCGTCTTTTGAATAGCCGTAAGTCCTATTCCTGTCATTCTTTCTATTAATTTTCTCTTTTTAAAGTGAGAACTACAAATGGTAATATCTAGAAAAGCACAGTGAATTTTGTTTTAGAACTGAGGGTGCAGTAAGGTACATATAATATCAAACTTAACAAGCTAGATTTGTGCAGTTCAAACAAAAATTAATTAAGTAGATCAATTTAGACCAAATCAAACATCAATGACCATTAAAAGTCTTCAAATCTAAAAAGTTCATTTCAAATAAAATTATAAAAGTATCATGAGTGCCACATATAAGTATATAACACACCTCACTTTTTTTTATAAACACAGCTCATTTTTTTCAACTTCTAACATTTATTTTACAATACGTACTACCGATAGTACGGGTTTTGTAGCATCCCATCTTACTCGGTGGATACCTATTTTTCTTAACAATTCATGCGTTCTATAATTTATTACTTTTCAAATCTAATTTTCCCAACAATGCATAAATACTACGGAGTATTACTTATGTCCCGAAAAATGAAAAATATTTAATATCTTTTATTCCGTGCATCGCACGAGTGAAATCCTAATAGCGTTCAGCCCAAAAATAACATTTTCAATAAGTGAAAATGTTAAGACCTGAGGTTCCATCCTAAAAGGTTAACCTGATAGGAGGAGTAGCCCAAATCTTAATATAGCACATTGTTTATTTGAACTTTTTCGGTGGGATTCTAACACCCCTCCTCACTACCAAACACTTTGTTTGGATCGTGCCGTCATTCATTTTTCGTCGGTTCGTCATTGTCATTTTTTTAATAATCGTGTCGTCATTTTTCATAAAGGGGCCCACCATGGATCGATTTGGCTCTAATACAATGTTAAGATCTGAGGTTTCATCCCAAATGGTTAAAGGTCAACCTGATAGGAGGAGTTGCCCAAATCTTAATATAGCACATTGTTTATTCGAACTTTTTCGGTGTGGGATTCTAACAAAAAATGTTGTGTAGTCAATAATTGTTTTTACCCTAGCGTTTTTGATCGGAACCACTATAAAATGAAAACCCTGCAATTGCTACGTCCAAACCACTTTTTGTAACCTGCTAACTTATTCTGGCAATCAGCTATTAACAACTTATTTCATTAAAACAATTATTTCGGAGACATATATCCTCTTCACCTCTTGTCATTTGTTTATTTACTCCACAGTCCACACTACGTATCTCATAGCTGGCTCGTCAGAGCATATGGATAACTACGTTTTAAACACGGGAGCTATCATCTCTTGGTTCATTTATTATCGGAACGTGAGATCATCGGTTACTATATTACGGAGCATTTAACTTATCAATTCGAAACTATTACAAAAACTTTATGAGCCATAAAGCGTGCTGTATTGCTTACTATTTGACCAAACATGCAATAACTTCAACGAGTGTGTAAAATATGATACACTGTTATCAAATTTGAAACACCATCTTTTTTGGAAACAATTTTGAATTGATTTCATTGATTTATGATGTTTTAGTTGAGCTTTCATCAATCTCATATCAAACGAAACCAAACATGAGACAAACCAGAAAATTTCTGCTCCAATTAAAAATATCATTTTTTATTGGATTCTAATAACTAAAAGGAGCCTGCGCTCTTTGATTGACCAAATCTTTGCCAAATACTTCCAAACCATTTGTATTGTCTCAGCACACCGAACTGTTTTTTAGTCTCTCAAGTCTCAACTCTCAACAATTACTGCAAAGTATAAACCATAGTCACATAGTTCGTGGAACGCTTCAGTACGAGAACGAGGATCGGGAACGCGGTTTGCTAGATCTTGTGTATCTGGTTCGGAGGGGGTAGGTTCATTCCGGTACGCGTTTGGTACGTTGTACCACATGTTCGGTACACTGTATCTTATATTTTGGTACTAAAATAAAACTGGATTTCAGATATTACAAGTCACTGGAAGAGTACTTAGCTTTCAAAATATATATTTTGAAAAAAATAAAACTCTAATACTCAAAATATATTTTAGTAGCGTTGAAAGAGTACTTTCAATATATATATTCAAGAAAAACTTTAAACAAAATATAAAAAACATTACTCAGTATTAAAAAGAAGTCGCTGAAGTGAAGAGTTCGTAACTTTTATTACCCGGAGCAGAAATCAAAAAGGCTAAGGCCTTGTTTGGCAAATGGCTGTTAAATGGTTGTGTCAGTTGTTTCCTAATAGCTGGTTGTGTTAGCTGTTTTGACCGGCTGGTTATGTTAGCTGATTATAAATAACTGTTTGGTAAAATTGACTGTTTCAAAATGGCTGATAGAGTATAAAAAGACATATATTTTGAATAAATTGAACCAGCTGAATGAAGAAGTTGCTCCCCTTAGCTTCTTCAATCATCCATTTTTTAACTTTTGAAACTCAACAAGATAATTTTAAAAGTCATTTACCAAACATTATCATTAGCTTCTTTGACTAATCAAACAGCTGAAATGGGTCAAACAAGCTAAAAATTGACTTATAAGTCATTTGCCAAACATACCCTAAGTCGTCTAGTTTCAAAGTTTCAAACAAACGTGTCTCGTTATCCGCATAGGTTATCAACACAAGAAACGACAAGACTATTCGCGACTGGTAGGTCTGCGACAGTCGTTAATGTTCGGAGTTCACGATTTAGAGCGTTCTGGATGGAGTCGCGGTCGACACCAGTTGCGATTGGGAACGGACCTGGGCAGCGATGGCGAACGACTTGAGAAGCAATTGAGATCACTGGTGAAGCGTTTTACACTACGATGTGATCAACGTTTGGAACACTTCCGTACCGCGATTGGGTACGCGGAACGCAGTTGGTGGGTGTTTGAGCGATTTATGTATCTATGGTATAAACACTTAGAAATAAAAGAAAATAAATGTAACACACTTTTGAAACTTTTTCCAGATTAAGTGCATATCCATAATGACAATAACAGCAAATAGATAATTGTTATGGAAAATGATGTGTATTTCCATTTTATATCATTTAGTTACATCCATACTGCTGAGTGCTGACGCTGACCACTTACTTCAACTATTTTCAGTCTGCCCCCTGCATTTGCGAGTATTTATTTATTTATTTATTATTTATATATAGAAGGGGCAGAATTTGAAAGAAAATATTAGATGGTTCAGGGGAAGGATGGCTCAGGCTTCTCTAACCCCTCCAAGGGGCGAAAGAAGGCCTTCTGCTCCAACACTGAATCTGGTGGTGCAAAGCCCTCACCGGCAGCGGCGGCGCCCCCAGATGTTGTATTAACCGTGTCTGGTCCAAATACGCCGGTTTGAGGGTGAGGAGCCCAGTACTTGTCTGATTGGGCCTCGATTATTTCATCCGGTACAGCGGAGGGTTGGGCATGCTCCTCGATGTTCTTGTCGTATGCCGATGCATGCACGGCCCTCCTGCACATCCGAAAACCGCCATTATGGATAGAGAAGGGAAGACAAATAATGGCTTCAAAGTACCTACTATAGATGATGATGAATAATGATGATGATGATGATATAATACTCCGTATTAACAAGTTCATGTTCAGTAACCTTGTTTTTGATTCATGAGCCTTGTCAAGAATGTCAACTAATTTTGTAAGTTGTAACAAAAGCATTAATTTTTAAATTTCACTAACTAACAATTAATAACGAAAACTCAAGTAAGCTCGGTGTACTTGTTGGCTACATTGACCATTTTAATTTTTAATTTAGTTTTCACAACACTAAATTGACTTTTAATTAAGATCTACTCTGTAGCTAACAATATTGACCAAGTAATAAGTAACCGGTAAGTACCCTAAAGGGGTTTTGACTTTATTTATTAGCTAAAATAGATTTTAACACTAAATTCAGAAGCCCAGCAAATTGGAGGAGTGTGAAAACTGAACATAACAAAGATCACTATAATTATCGAGATTAATATTCTTTTTGAAAGAGGTTAATTTTAAGCAATCTAATTTACTCGTAGTGAGAGTATATATAATATATGTAGGCTGCCTAAACTCCAGCCTTGCCGCACTACCGGCATGGATAAGATGAAGAGTCGAAGACTGTTAAATGTCCCAAACCGGAAAAATTTGGATGAACAAAATGTTATATTAAAACATGAGTTACTCCTCCTATCAGGTTGCCTTTTAGGATGGAACCCCGTGTCTTAAAATGGTATCAGAGCCAAATCGATCCATGGTGTGGAACCCCTTATGAAAAATGATGACACGATTATAAAAAATGAAAATTACGGCCGGATGAAAAAAAAACGGACCGACAAAAAAAAATGATGACAAATTAGAAAAGGGATGTTAAATGTCCCACATTAGAAAAGTTTGAATGAACAAAATGCTATATTAAAACATGAGTAACTCCTCCTATCAGGTTGACCTTTTAGGATGGAACCCCGTGTCTTAAAATGATATCAGAGCCAAATCGATCCATGGTGTGGAGCCCCTTATGAAAAATGATAACACGATTATAAAAAATGAAAGTTACGGCCGGATGAAAAAAACGGACCGACGAAAAAAATAAATGATGGCAAGATCCAGACGGATCATGAGGAGGGATGTTAAATGTCCCACATTAGAAAAGTTTGAATGAACAAAATGATATATTAATACATGAACTACTCCCCCTATCAGGTTGACCTTTTAAGATGGATCTTCGTCTCTTAACAAAGAGAACACACAAAAGATTCCGAGGTGGTAGGTGTGTGATGAGGTCAGGAGGAGACAGGAGGTAGATGAATGGGACGGAGATGGAAATGAGATGGTTTGATTTCCAAAGGTATGGTGGCCCTTGAGCTGGATGATGATAAAATGGACAGAAAAATATGGCCCAGAAAACGTGAAGACCTTTTTGTTTCAAAAATAAGGCAAGCACGTAACAGAAGATGTTACACAGTTGCACTCTTATTCAAAGATAAGATAAGATATACTCTCCATACTACCACTTTGTCCGTTTTGGACGGTTAAACTTTCTCATTTCTATTCAAATAACAAATAATTAATACTCCTAAATGAATAATTAATAATGAAAACAATATACTTATAATATCACGTACAATTACCAACTTCATTATGTTATATATTCATCAAAACTAACTCTAAAAATATGAATCGAATTACTTTATATATTCCCTCCGTCCCATTGAACTTGTTCCAAAAAACTTTGTCACTTTTCTATTAAAGCAACTAATTTGTGATTCTGCATATTTCTCTCTCCTCTGCACAAATTTCAACCACACAATTCTTACTATTCTTATTACTCACCTAACTTGCACTTGGCAAAGTGTACCATAGCGACATATTAGACCAGGCCTAGATTGTTTTACAAGACCAAATAATACATAATTCAAATTTATCTTTGTGATAAATATCCACATTTGAAAAAAAAAATCCTACTCCGTATCTATTACTCCGGGCTAGGTCATGTATAAGTTGCGTCTATTTGAAAGTTTGGACAAAAACCTGATAGGTGTATAATTGTACTACTATAAATGAATGAACTAACCAACCTTAAAGAAGAGTTGTCGGTATTAGGTAACATAGTACCGAACAATCAAACAAAAAATTACTACTCCGTATTTTCTAATAACATTAATTGAACCTAATCCACCCAAGAGATATATTAGTCACAACTGGCACGTTATCATGATATGGACTCCTTAACATTGATAATTACTACTAGTATGATAAGTTATCAATGAAAACCCAATGACATAAAGAAGGGTCGGCAGATATTGAATGAAAACGGCAGCCGCAACCACTACTTGTACGGTTGTACCACATGAACTAATACTGGAACCGCATATTTATTACTTCTCCAGATGTAAATTATTTCTATATGACACTCCTTATCTCCTAAGTCCTAAGATAAGCTATTTCATCGTTTCATTTTTATTAGGATCGTGACGAGTACTTTTTACTTGTCTCCACTAAAGGGGTGTGGAAATATAGAACTAAACCAAATCCGGGAGACCATGGAACCCAGCCGATCGAACCAAAAAATATTTGGACTAGTATTACAAATGCGGAATTCGTTCCATTTAAAAATTAAAACCAGGCAAGTTTTGAACCGATTAGTTTTGGTAGTCTGAAATGAACCGAGTGTCCGGTTCGATTTTCGGTTACAATTTTTGTACTGGTTCTAGCTAGATCCGGTTGTGTACTGCTCCACGCTGAGCAATTAAGAGCCCGTTTGGAGAACTCTGTTTTCGGCTTATCAGGCTTATCAGCCAGCTTTTTCACCAAACACGTAACTTTTACTTTCGCGCGCTGAATTGTGTAATAAGCCGAAAAAGTAAGGTTGGAGTTACTTTTCTGGCTGTATTGTCTGAAGTTACTGTAGAGGACCATTTTAGCTATTTTTACATATAATTTTTTCTTTAATTTATTAATAAAATATATTTTTAAAATATTTTTTTCTTAAATCAGCAGAATCAGCCAAAACAACCACTCCAGCCAGAATATCATAAATTTCAGCAGAATCAGCCAAAACAGCCGATTTTGGTGCTACCAAACGGGCTCTAAGAATAAGAAGTGCCATTTATTAAAGAAAGTTAATCATCACTTAACAAATGAACAATGTCCACAATTCCCACCAACAACGAATAATTCCCGTACTATCATAATTAAGGTCGCTGCTTCACAAAGTTAACTCCCTCCAGCCCCACATGTCCTAATTAATAACTTTTCACAAGTGCATACTGTATCAGTGCCATAGAACTTTTAATTGGTATATAGAAAAGAAAAAGTTCATAACAAGCAAAAAAATCTTATAAACCATAAAGTAGTCATTAAAAATCAAAAAAATTAGAAAATATAAAGAATAACTAATCAATAAACCCCCTTAAAATTAATTTTTTTTACCAGCTTAAAATTGAATATTTTTTGAAACAGTATATTTTCGACAATTCTTTTCATATTCTGGAGTATTGTTTTGTTTTGTACTTTTAATATTCACTCTAGGGAATCATACCCCTCTTCGGTTGACATCAACAGTATAAAGATCAAAGAATGTTACGTACAGAGTAATAGATTGGCGAAGTACTTCTCTTACCAGGCAAAAACACCTTTATTTTGCTATGGTGATAGAAAAATAATACGGAGTAACAAAATCTTAAAAAAATACCATCTCTTAAACCAGCAAACTGGAAATCACTACCTACCACTAAACAGTAATCGGGGATGTGAAAGACAAAACCTTTAAATCTATTAGTTGTAAGAAAAAGTTCAGACCATTAGTCGAAACACCACTATGGTAAGCAGCCCTCGCCGGGGAAGACATCGATATCAATGTGTGAAAAAATTACTTACAAATTACAAAACATACAATATTCATAATTTCATACCCCGTTAATGAAAGATGAAGATTTGGCCCTGAATGTAATTTGTCAATCTATAAATCTTTTATCTTTATACGACATTTCTCCTACACCACTCTGTAATCAATTGAACCCATTTCGCTAAATCACATAGCAAATTTAACGCGTTAGACTGAAAAACAGATTATATACATGCATAATTTCCATTAGAGATCGATCAACTGGCCAAATTATATTAAAAAAACTTTCAAATTGGTGCTACCATTCCACCATCATGATCATCATCAGCTACTACAGATCGATCAAATTTGTAAAAATTGCACAGAGAGACCGAAACAAAACTCCACTCAAGCTTTTATATTGAAGTATATCTCCAAGAGAATGCTTATAACAAAGTAGGTTCCCAATGTTTTTCCTCTCAATACAGGGAAACGGAAATGAAGATATAATAATACCGCAAAAAACAGTTTACGGCATCACAAACCAAAAAGATAAAATGGCAATTTTAAAACATAAAAAAATGCACCGCTTCAAAATAGACTATTGACCTCTAATTTCGAGAATTTTTTTATGGAACCAAATAACTCTGTTTTATGAATAAGACATAACTACTCCTATTTGTGCATTTTTCTCTGTTTTACTACTATTTTGCCAATTTCCTTACAAAAATACTCCATAAGAGCGATTATGCATGTATTTCAACGAATCAACACCGTATAAATCCGTATCATACTAAAGCTCATACGGCGTAGAATACCTAGAGAGAGAAGCAGAAGAGCCGGCACGATTAGTTGAGGTTATTTTGCCCCGGAACAGCTTCCCCAAGCTCGCGACTCCTCGGCTCTGCAAATTGGCGGCCATACAATACGGCTTATCGGCTATTGAGATGGAGAGAGAGAGTGGTAACGGCTCTGCTTTCTAGAGAGAGAGTGAAATTTCTTAGTTTCTGAGAGGATAAACAATGGGCGTGGATATAGCCCTCAATTTATATTAGTTGGGGAGGAGGAAGAGGGTACGGTCCGTGCTACCTACCGGACATCTGTCTCTGTTTCCCTCGTCAGCACTTATCTGGCTACCACCCAAGTACTACGGTCTACGGCGTCTCGTTCCGTCAATATCCTAACGGTGTCTGTAAACGGTGGCCGTTAGCGTCGTTTAGTTCCGGGATGGATATGCGCTGTACAGTTTTAGCCACGTATTTCTGTGTAGGAAAACGGGGTTTGTCCCAAATGTACAACGTATCGGTGTGACTAAAGTATAAAGTCCAATTTGACTATATGTCATATGTGCACCTTTTTAAGTTTTTATCAGAAACAATAATCATTTTTTTTTATTAAATGTGTAAATTTCTATTTTGGGCGTTGAATAAAATAATAATCAAAATATTTAAATTTATATTTTTTTTACTTAAATTAGCTGAAATTGCTAACGTGAATTATCTTAAATATAATTTTTCATTATTTGTGGTTTCAATCTAATTGTCTACGTCAAAATTTCATAAGTTTCGATAGATTCAAACGATTTAACAAATTTTATAGCTCGATTGATAACACACAACAACAACAATAACCTTAATTTCAAAAGATTTTGACAACACTCCAATTGGGTGAGGATTGATTAAATTTCAACTAAAGTGGTTGAATTTGTTGAGCTATATCAAAATTACACGTAAATTATATTTCATTAATAGAGTTAAGAAAATATTAAACGGAAAACATAGCTAAAAATTTTCTTTATAGTAACTTTAATTAATCAAATGAGTTAGAAAAATAACTTCAACTTTATTTATTATAGTTATCGATCAATTTAGTCCTCATTCTAAAAGATTGCGTGTTTAATAAAAAAAATAGTTGAGTGGACAGATAAATTGAAAATGAGGGCAGTGCCGATCCTAGGTAAACTCGGGCCTGAGTCGAACTCCATAAAAAGGCCCTACAAATTGTAATATTTCATACTTTATCCATTATCTAATAATTGTCTCGTATTTCTTTTTGAGATGTTTTTATTATTATTTGTCGCTCTTTTTCCCCTTCTCTTTCCCTTTTTAGTAAGTTTTCCTATCAAAATATCTATGAAATAATGACAAATATATGACTGAAATAAAAGTTATGGACAAAAGTTCTAAGTATGACTTAGTGACTATCATAGTAATTACTTGACCATGACTATGTTCAAATGTATCATTACAGTGACTTGCATAGTAACTATAGTAATATTTTTGTCATGAGTTATATGGAAAAACCTCAATATCTATATACCCTCACTTTGATTACCTTTTTTTTTACAAACTATTTTCTCTTTCCTACTTTTTATTACTTTTCTCTTCTCATTTACTCTACATCATCTATATTACTCCTGTTTTCTTTAAAAAAACCGTGAAAAACCTAAGAGAATGATTATGAGAGAACAGAGGGAGTAATATAATTTGTTTTTGAAGTGAAAGATTAAACACCATTAAAAATAGGGTTTTTTACGAGAATATTACTAAAATAAAACTTATTTACATAAATATGACTATTCATTACTACAACGTAGTGCTGTAGTAACTAAAATTCAAAACTTGAAACAACTAATTTATTGAATCATATTATGCTCATATTAGTCAAATAGACGAACCAAATAAAATTTAAATATTTAAAAAATGACATATTTAAGACAAATAAAGTTTTTTATTTACCCCAAAAGCTCCCTGGCTTTCATAGTTTCATGCCTTATTTATAATATACTACGTACATGAAATGTCATATGACTTTATCAGTTAAAAAACTAAAACCGTGAATGGAGCAAAATCATAAGAGGTCTACAACATATTTGCCTCTATGGTTTTCAAGTGTAGCAACGGACTAATTTAAGTCAACCAAATTAATAGTTCATATATGTGTGTGTAAAATATAAAGAAATTTTAAATTGTGGGCCCTAAATTTTAAGCATTTCTATGGACCCTGAGGCCTCTGCCTCATCAGCCTCAAAGGAAGCACGGCCCTGAATGAGGGTTACCAATAGGCTATTCAGTGATCACTACAAGAAAATAGGTCATTTACCCACACATGCATGTGTAGGTAAAACAATAGATATGTGTGGGTAATAGTATTTACCCACACATATATTAAGTGTTGGACTGTGTGGGTAAAAGAGCGTTGGAAAAAGTTATTACCTACACTTAAAATTATGTGTGGGTAATTGTCATGTTTATAGCTACACATGTATGTGTAGCTAAAACACTATTATATGTGTTACTGTTGGTCATTTGAGCCATGATACGGTGACTTGGCATGTGACGTGGAAATCCATGTGGCTGCTGACGTGGCCGCTGACGTGGCCGCTGACGTGGATATCCAAAGGTGATGTGTACGCTGACGTGTCATGTTTACGGGTCTTGGACATTGCCACGTGGACATATAAGATGTGTGGGTAAATGTTATTGTTTATGTGGGTAAAAATTATGTGTATGTGTAGGTAAGTACTTTCGATGTGTGGGGAAAAGTTTTATGCAAGCGTAACTATTAATATAATCTGTAGATAAAACTATTTAATTATTAAATGTACTTATTAAATGACACAAGTATCGTAACCAAAGCGAACAATGGAATGTATATATAATAGAAAAGTAGAGATAAGCATCATCGTTCAAACTAAAATATTCAATTTCAATCAGACGTAGTCAAACAATCTTAAACCATAACTAGTGCCACATTACGAAATGTTTATTATGTCTTATATAAATGTAACTTCTACGCAATATCATCATATTCAGAAGTCGAGTCTCCATAGGCGTCAACATGTTGGCCTTGACCGGCAGATGATGAGCCACGATTAAGAGCTCCTGAAGAATGATCTGATGGAACATTTGACATGGGAGGAATGATGTTCTTCTCAATCAACAACTTTTTCATCATTTCAACCGTGCCTGAAAGCTCTCCAACACGATTGAGCAATTCAGAATAAGTGGGCATATCTGAATCCTCTCTACTTCTTTTAGACGTAGTAGGAGACCGTCCCCAACCAAACAAACGAACAGATTCACGTCCAAGCACCTTCTCTAATATTTGTTTATCGGTTAAAGTCTCGGGTGAATTTTCTCTTCTCAACTCCACCATCTCTTCCTGTTAAATTATCAATGAAACAATAATAATTCATTAATGATTCAAATTATGGACATGCTTGTGTATTATGAACCATTTGCAAATAAATATTAAATTGATGAGATGATAATGAAGCCGAAAGAATAGGCAAGAGTGCATGAAATTAAAGTCAGAAAATTGGGAACAAGAAAGGGAGAGGTAAATGACAATGGCAATCTCAAATTTACAACAAAAAAAAAGTGAAGGAATGGACCGATCAACTTTCCCTGCATATGCTTGCGCCATCAAAGCTAAAAAGATAACATCAATTTAAAATCTAAAATCATTTTATCTGAATGAACAAGCACTACAAGAAAATAGGTCATTTACCCACACATGCATGTGTAGGTAAAACAATAGATATGTGTGGGTAATAGTATTTACCCACACATATATTAAGTGTTGGACTGTGTGGGTAAAAGAGCGTTGGAAAAAGTTATTACCTACACTTAAAATTATGTGTGGGTAATTGTCATGTTTATAGCTACACATGTATGTGTAGCTAAAACACTATTATATGTGTTACTGTTGGTCATTTGAGCCATGATACGGTGACTTGGCATGTGACGTGGAAATCCATGTGGCTGCTGACGTGGCCGCTGACGTGGATATCCAAAGGTGATGTGTACGCTGACGTGTCATGTTTACGGGTCTTGGACATTGCCACGTGGACATATAAGATGTGTGGGTAAATGTTATTGTTTATGTGGGTAAAAATTATGTGTATGTGTAGGTAAGTACTTTCGATGTGTGGGGAAAAGTTTTATGCAAGCGTAACTATTAATATAATCTGTAGATAAAACTATTTAATTATTAAATGTACTTATTAAATGACACAAGTATCGTAACCAAAGCGAACAATGGAATGTATATATAATAGAAAAGTAGAGATAAGCATCATCGTTCAAACTAAAATATTCAATTTCAATCAGACGTAGTCAAACAATCTTAAACCATAACTAGTGCCACATTACGAAATGTTTATTATGTCTTATATAAATGTAACTTCTACGCAATATCATCATATTCAGAAGTCGAGTCTCCATAGGCGTCAACATGTTGGCCTTGACCGGCAGATGATGAGCCACGATTAAGAGCTCCTGAAGAATGATCTGATGGAACATTTGACATGGGAGGAATGATGTTCTTCTCAATCAACAACTTTTTCATCATTTCAACCGTGCCTGAAAGCTCTCCAACACGATTGAGCAATTCAGAATAAGTGGGCATATCTGAATCCTCTCTACTTCTTTTAGACGTAGTAGGAGACCGTCCCCAACCAAACAAACGAACAGATTCACGTCCAAGCACCTTCTCTAATATTTGTTTATCGGTTAAAGTCTCGGGTGAATTTTCTCTTCTCAACTCCACCATCTCTTCCTGTTAAATTATCAATGAAACAATAACAATTCATTAATGATTCAAATTATGGACATGCTTGTGTATTATGAACCATTTGCAAATAAATATTAAATTGATGAGATGATAATGAAGCCGAAAGAATAGGCAAGAGTGCATGAAATTAAAGTCAGAAAATTGGGAACAAGAAAGGGAGAGGTAAATGACAATGGCAATCTCAAATTTACAAAAAAAAAAAAGTGAAGGAATGGACCGATCAACTTTCCATGCATATGCTTGCGCCATCAAAGCTAAAAAGATAACATCAATTTAAAATCTAAAATCATTTTATCTGAATGAACAAGTGACATTCAAACACACTCTACTTTTAAACAATACTTACGTATTTAGATTCTGCTTCTGCAGATACCCAACCACGTTCTGGATGCCAATGACGAAGACGCCACGTCTCGACATGACCAACAGGAGCATCCAATTCAGCCCC